TCATCATGGATATTGGCCTGAAGTTTTCTTTTTTTGTTGAGTCTCTGCCAGGTTTTGGTATCAGGATGATGTTGGTCTCATAAAATGATTTGGGAAGGATTCCCTCTTTTTGTATTGTTTGGAATAGTTTCAGAAGGAGTGGTACCAGCTCCTCTTTGTATGTCTGGTAGAATTTGGATATGAACCCATCTGGACCTGGGCTTTTTGGTTGATAGGCTATTAATTGCTGCCTCAGCTTCAGCTCTTGTTATTGGTTTATTCAGTGTTTTCACTTCTTCCTGGTTTAGGCTTGGGAGGGTGCAAGTGTTGAGGAATTTATCCATTTCTTCCAGGTTTATGGGTTTGTGTGCATAGAGTTGTTTGTAGTAATCTCTGATGGTAGTTTATATTTCTGTGGAATCGGTGATATCCTCTTCAACGTTTTTAATTGCATCTATTAGATTCTTCTCTGTTTTATTAATCTGGCTAGTGGTCTGTCTATTTTTCTTTTCAAAAATCAGCTCCTGGATTTATTGATTTTTTTTGAAGGGTTTTTTGTGTCTCAATCTCCTTCATTTCTGTTCTGATCTTAGTTATTTCTTGTATTCTGCTAGCTTTGAGTTTTTTTGATCTTGCTCTTATAGCTCTTTCTATTTTGAAGATAGTATGTCGATTTTAGATCTTTCCTTGCTTCTCATGTGGGCATATATTGCTATAAATTTTCCTCTAGACACTGCTTTAAATGTGTCCCAGAGATTCTGGGTACGTTGTGTCTTTGTTCTTGTTCAAGAGCTAGTTGTTCAGTTTCCATGAGGCTGTGCAGTTCTGAGTTAGTTTCTTAATTTTTTGAGTTCTAATTTGATTGCACTGTGGTCTGAGAGACTGTGATGATTTCTGTTCTTTTGCATTTGCTGAGGAGTGATTTACTTCCAATTATGTGGTCAATTTTAGAGTAGGTGTGATGTGGTGCTGAGACGAATGTATATACTGTGGATTTTGGGTGGAGCATGCTGTAGATGTCTATTAGGTCCACTTGATCCAGATTTGAGTTCAAGTCCTGGATATCCTTGTTAATTTTCTGTCTCATTGATCTAATATTGACAGTGGAGTGTGAAAGTCTCCCAATATATTGTGTGGGAGTCTAGTCTCTTTGTGTGTCATTAAGAACTTGCTTTATGTATCTGGGTGCTCCTGTATTGGGTGCATATATATTTAGGATCATTAGCTCTTCTTGTTGCACTGATCCCTTTACCATTGTGTCATTAAGAACTTGCTTTATGTATCTGGGTGCTCCTGTATTGGGTGCATATATATTTAGGATCATTAGCTCTTTTTGTTGCACTGATCCTTTTACCATTATATGATGCCCTTCTTTGTCTCTTTTGATCTTTGTTGGTTTAAAGTCTGTTTTATCAGAGACTAGGATTGCAACTCCTCCTTTTTTTGCTCTCCATTTGCTTGGTAAATCTTCCTTCATCCCTTTATTTTGAGCCTATATGTGTCCTTGCACATGAGATGGGTTTCCTGAATAAAGCACACTGATGGGTCTTGACTTTTTAATCTAATTTACCAGTCTGTGTCTTTTGATTGGGGCATTCAGCCCATTTACATTTAAGGTTAATATCGTTATGTATGAATTTGATGCTGCCATTTTGAGGCTAGCTGGTTGTTGTGCCCATTAGATGATGCAGTTTCTTCATTGTGTCAATGGTCTTTACCATTTGGTACATTTTTGGAGTGGCTGGTACTGGTAGTTCCTTTCCATGTTTAGTGCTTCTTTCAGGAGGTCTTGTAAAGCAGGCCTGGTGGTAATGAAATCTCTCAGCAATTGCTTGTCCATAAAGGATTCTATTTCTCTTTCGCTCATGAAGCTTAGTTTGGCTGGATATGAGATTCTGGGTTGAAAGTTCTTTTCTTTAAGGACGTTGAATTTTGGCCCCCACTCTCCTCTGGCTTATAGGGTTTCTGCTGAGAGTTCTGTTGTGAGTCTGATGTGCTTCCCTTTGTGGCTTATCCAACCTTTCTTTCTGGCTGCCCTTAGCATTTTTTCCTTCATTTCAATCCTGGTGAATTTGACAATTATTTGCCTTGGGATTGCTCTTCTTGAGGAATATCTTTGTAGTGTTCTCTGTATTTCCTGGATTTGAGTGTTGGCCTGCCTTGCTAGGTTGAGGAAGTTCTCCTGAATAATATCCTGGAGAGTGTTTTCCAGCTTAGATGCATTCTCCCCATCACATTCAAGTATACCTATCAAACATAGATTAGGTCTTTTCACATAATCCCATATTTCTTGGAGGCTTTGTTCATTTCGCTTCACTCTTTTTTCTCTAATCTTGCCTTCTCATTTTATTTCATTGTGTTGATTTTCAATCTTCTGCTTGGTCAATTCGGCTGTTGAAATTTGTGTATGCTTCCTGAAGTTCTTGCACTGTGCTTTTCAGCTCTATCAAGTCATTTATGTTCTTGTCTACACTGGTTATTCTAGTTAGCATTTCATCTAACTTTTTTTCCAGGTTCTGAGTTTCTTTGCATTGGGTTAGAATGTGTTCTTTTCGCTCAGAGAAGTTGGTTATTACTCACCTTCTGAAGCCTACTTTTGTCAATTCATCAGACTCACTCTCCAACCAGCTTTGTTCCCTTCCTGGTGAGGAGCTGTGATCCTTTGGAGGAGGAGAGGCCTTCTGGTTTTCAGTGTTTTCATCCCTTTTATGCTGGTTTCTTCCCATCTTTGTGGATTTGTCTACCTGTGGTCTTTGTAGTTGGTGACTTTTGGATGGGGTCTCTGAGTGGACATCCTTTTTGTTGATGTTGAAACTATTTCTTTCTGTTTTTTAGTTTTCCTTCTAACAGTCAGGCCCCTCTCCTACAGGACCGTGGGAGGTCCACTTCAGACCCTGCTTGTCTAAGAATCATCTGCAGGGGCTGCAGAACAGTAAGGGTTGCTTCCAGTTTCTTCTGTTATCTTCATCCCAGAAGGGTACCCAACAGATGTCAGCCAGAGCTCTCCTTTATAAGGTGCCTCTTTGGATACACGGGGGTCAGGGAGCCACCTGAGGAGACAGTCTGTCCCTTATCAGAGCTCTAGTGCTGTACTGGGAGCTCTGTTGTTCCCTTCAGAGCTGCTGGGCAGGTAGATTTAAGTCTGCTGCAGCAGAACTCATAACCACTTCTTTTCCCAGGTGCTCTGTCCTGGGAAGGTGGGGCTTTATTTATAAGTTCCTGTCGTGCTGCTGCCTTTTTTTCAGAGATGCCCTGCCCAGCAAGGAGGTAGTCTAGTCACAGTCTGCCAACAGGTGTTGCTGAGCTGCTGCAGGCTCTGCCCAGTTGCTGTGTGAACTTCCTTGTGGTTTTGTTTACAGAGGTACAGTTAGAACTGCCTTGGTAATAGCAGACTGCCTTGGTAATGATGGACTGACTTGGTAGTGGTGGACTGCCTCAGGAATAATAGATGCCCTTCTCCCCACAGAGCTGGACTTTCCCAGGTCCAGCTGTGCTTGCTGCAAAACTCTCAATCCAGAGCGTTCAGATGGCTGGTCTTTGTTGGGGTGGGACCCGTTGAGCCAGATAGCCAGATCACCTGGCTCCCTGCTTTCAGCCCCCTCTTTTTCAGTTGAATGGGTAGCTCTGTCTCCCAGGCATTCCTGGCAGCAGTTAAACAGCTACCTGAATTTGTGTGAGTTTTTGTGTGGAAACCTGCAGTGCCGGCTGAAACAGCTGTGCTGGAAACTTGTGGCACTTTTTGGCCCAGGAATATCCTGGTCTTTGTGTGGTAAGAATTGCAGGAGAAGCTCAGTATCTGAACCGGAGTGCTGGAGTGGATGGAAAAGCCCCCGATGGCCTCCATTGTGTAGGGAGGGGGGTCCTCCAGGGATTGCATTTCCCGGGTGAGGCAGCACCCCTACCCTGCCTCGGCTTGCCCTTCTTGGGATACAACGACTGTGCAACCAGTTCCATTGAGATGCACCTGGTACCTTGTTTGGAAATGCAGTGATCACTCACCCTCTCTATGTCTCTCGCTGGGAACTGCACTCCAGAGCTATTCATATTCGGCCATGTTGGGTCTCCCAATAATCTCATTTTAAATCGATTACCTCTGTAAAGACTAAGTGTTATTCTGAGGTACAAGGGGTTAGGACTCCAATTTTTGGAGGGTACCACAATTCAACCCATAACAATTCCTTTTCCATTTTAAAAGTTATCCGTATACAATAGTTTTCTACATTTTACCGCATAATAAATGTTACTTTTTCATAGTTGATTTATATTTACTCTCATATTTACATATTTTTTTGCATATGATATTTTCTTGAATATTAAATCTTCTGTCTTGGATCATTCTACTTTTGCCCCAAGTACTATATCCTTTTGAAATTCCTTTAGTGAAGTTGGTGGGAGATTAACTCCCCCAATTTGTGTTTGCCTGAAAATCTGTATTTTATTTGCATTCTTGAGAGATAGTTTAACTATGTTTACAGTTTTACATTAACTTTTATTTTCTCCCAGCACACTAAAGACGTTTTCTTGGTTTTCATTTTTGCTGCTGTGACATCACTTTAGGCTGTATTCCTTTGAAAGTACATTGTTTTTAGCCAGACACTTTAAATCTTGTCACTGTTGGTTTCCCTTTAATTTACAATGTGACTGAGTTAAGACTGGTTTTTATTCTGTTTAGATTTTTTGTTTCCTAACTCTTATTTTTGTCTTTACTAAGTTGTGGAAAATTATCATCTGATATTTTACAAATATTTTCTTTTCTTCTACTTTTTTATTCTGGAACTCCAATTACAAATATGGCAGACCTTTTCATTCTGTCTTCCATATCTCTTAAACTGTCCTTTATATTTTCTTAATCTCTCCATGCTAAATTCTGCATAATTCTTCAGATTTAGTTCATTAATTTCTCTTTGGTTGTGTTTGGTTTGATTAGTAACCCACCACTGAGTTTTAAATGAATATATTTTTAGTTTTATAAACTCTATGTAGTTCTTTTCCAACCCTATTAATTTAAAAATATCTTCTTAGTCTTTTGTCATGTTTAAAATATATATTTAATTTCCAGGAACATACTAAGCACATTTATTTTATATTCATTAGATAATATCAACATTTCAGGTTTGATGTGGTTCCTCTAATTCATGGCTTACTGTTTTTGTTGATTCTGCTCACTGTGGACTGTTTCCTTGTATGTGTGAGCTTCTATTTTTCTGAATTTAATTTGAAGAAAACATAAGAATGTCTTTCTCCCCATGGGTATGGGTTTTTCTGGTAGGTGCTCTACCAATCTGGTGCACTACCCACCTGGAAGCACTTAAACTTATCAGCATATCCTTGCTTGAACTCTGTAGGTGTTTTAAGTTCAAATCCTGAACTCAGGTTCCAATAAGCTTGTACTCTGGATTCTCAAGGGATATTTTCCCTCACCTGAAGCCAAGGACTAAGATTTTAAAAGTTTGCTTTTGGTTTTCTTCATCAAAAGATGTATTTTTTTTCTAGTTTGACCTTTCACCACGAGTCTAGCCCTGTAAGCATATTAGTGTTATACATGAATTTTAGTTATTTGTCCATCTTACTAGATAAAAGGGCTTATCTCCTATTCCTTTATGAGGCTGTCAAAAGCCTAACCTCTGTTTCTGGTATTATTAGATATCTCCAGGGAAGGCAGGGCTTTAGTGCTAGCGTATCATTCAGTTTCATTTGCCTTTTGTTTCAAAGATATTTCTCTCATAATTTCTAGATGCTTTTGGTAGGAGAATCTTTACAACGTCTAGTCCAACAGAAGTGGAAATTTCTCTACATCTCTTTAAATAAAAAAATTACCACCTCCATTCTAACAAGGCTATTTCAATCAGTGTTAACATGTTCAAAGATGAAATCTAAATTACATATTTAAAAGCATAAAAATAACCTTTAACATGAAATGTGGATTAATGTGGAGGTAATATCAAGAAAATAAAAAGAAGGAATGCCGAGACTATTAAAACTAGTACCAACATTTTACTTAATAAGCTGTCTATCCTCCTAGCCATTATTGTTCCAGTGGTAGATGAATTACAGTTATGATGCAAATTTTGAAACTTATTTGGAAATGCATTAGTCAAACGTGATATTGATCAAAAAGAATTCTTTCAGTGAAATTTTTTTAAAATAACATTTTAATTACATGATCTAACTTTCATTTCTTCATCTCTTAACTTCAATACATTTAGTACTCTGAAAGTTAAAGCATCTAGTAAAAACTCTACCGTTTAAGCACAAATATATATTTACACAAAGAGCCTTTTGGAATTAAGCTTTTGGAAGGTAATTTAGACAAAACTTAATCAGTTAACTGATCTTCAGTAAAATCAGTAAAACCAAATTCATTCTATTAGATTTCTACAATTTCTCTTATAACCTACCCTAACACAGAAGTAGAGTATTTAATCTCAAAATCTATCTTCTTAGGCTAATTTAATTAATTTTCATGTTCAATGGATGATCACAATGTGTGGTATTTTTCTTTAGTATAAAAATGCTGTTCTAGATTTCTCATGTTTTGCTAATTCCATATAGTTCAAATTAGGCTAGTAATAATCACCAAGGGGTATGCGATCTCTAATAACTGTGAAATCTTCTTAAGCTTTTTCCTATTGGCATTAGCATAGAGTTTACCTTGGCAATGGAAGAGAAGCCAAAGGACATAAAGCACCCGGTAGCATTTTTAATATCCCTGGCACAGATTTCTGGCAGTAGCAGCATCCAAAAAAGTGCATTAGCTCTGGTTTTATACAGTCTCTTACAAGAAGGGGGAAAAGAGGTAAATGTGCAGTTGGTAATTTAAGAACTGCTGAGCTATGGATCAAACTTTGCTTCACTGAATAAATAATAAAACTCCATCAAATTCAGCTTAATATTGCATGGTCATTAGTGACCTTCATCATCAGAGTTGGTTTGACTGGATTGGTGCATACAGATGAAAAATAATCTTTTTAAAATGTAAATCATATCATGCAGTGGCCCTGCTTAAAACCCTTGAAGCAATTATATTGCTCTCAGAATAAAATTCAAATTTCTTATCAAGGCCCATAAGACCTTACCAGATTTGTCCCCTATCCTTCTCTTTAACATCATTATACAACACTCCCTCTCTCACTGGATTCAGGCCACACTGACCTCCTTTCTACTGCTGTAATATGCCAAGTTCTTTCTCCAGCCAAGGAAATTCAACAAAGAAAAGATCCTCTCTAAGTTGAGCTAGAACAACTGGATAATTTTATTTAAAACTTAACTTTGATCCATGTATCACATTTATAAAAATTAACTTGAAATTTATAGGCATACACATAAAAACTAAAACTATAAAACTTCGGAAAAAACATGAAAGAAAATCTTTTTGATCTGGATCAGGCAAAGATTTCTAGAAGATACAATAAGTAAGATTTCTAAGAGAAAAGAAACTGATAAAATACATTTCATCAAAATTGAAAACTTTTAAATTTTTAGACATGAGGGAAACAAAAAGGCAAGTCATAAATTAGAAAATATTTGTGAAATAAATATTTGACAAAGGGCATGTGTCCAAAATATGACATGAACTCTTAGAACTCAAGAAGAAAACAATCTATTAATGAGAAGACAAAAAAAATATTTGAATGGAAACTTCATGAAAGAAGATAAACAAATGGAGAAGAAGCACATAAAAAGACTCCCAACATCACAAGTCATCAAGGAAATGAAATAAAAATCAAAATATGATAACACTACATACCCACTAGCATGGCTAAAAATTAAAATGCTGACAATGCCAAACGTTCATTATAATGTGATGCAATGATGACACTCATACATTGCTGATAGGAATGCGAAATGGCACAGTCACTTTGGACGTCATTATGGCAGTGTCATATAAACATATACATCAATCCTACTTTTAGGCATTTATCCAAGAGAAATTAATGTCTGTGTCTACATGAAAACTTGTCCATGAAGCATTATCCACTATTGTCACAATCTGAAAACAAGGCAAATGTTCACCAACATGTAAACAGGTAAATTATGATATATCTAGATGATGAAATATTACCCAGTAATAAAAAGGAACTCAATACACACAACAACCTGGGTGGATCTCAAAAGTATTATGTTAAGTGAAACAAACAAAAAACTACATACCATTTGGTTTAATTACATGAAATTCTAGAAAAGGTAAAAGCATAGTGAGACAAAGTAGATGAGTGGTTGCCTGGGTCTAGAAGTTAGGGCAGAAGATCAATTGCATAGAGGCACAGACAACTTTTTAGGGTGATGGAACTGTTTTATATCTTGAATCCAATTACCAAAATTCATCAAACTGTATACAATTGCCAACATTCATCAAATGTACACTTTAACTAGGCGACTTTTATGTTATGATAAAGTCAAAAACTTAGTAGTAACCACAATTGTTTAAAATCAGACTAACAAGATTTGACGGGAGAACAAGAATATTTTATCACTAGCATTGTATAAAATTACCATTGTGTGGTGATGACAAAAAAACGACTTTGACTTTTATTCATCCTTAAAGGAGAATGGGAACGAGGTGTAGAAATAAAAACAAGATTTAGTCTGCATGATGACTGGGCCCCACGACTCCACACACACTGCTTCCAAAATACTTGCAGTCTCCATGTTCCCCCAGGCATTTGAAGGGTTATTTTCTAGCAAAATAACCCCAGAGAAAAAAGTTCTTCAAATATGAATAGTGGAAGTCACCCAGTGAGTAGGTGATTCACATCTAATCCCCTTAGAAAAAAATTCCTGTAAAGGGAAATACCACCCATGCATACAGCTTCATAGTGCCTCACGCACAACCACTCACAGCCTGGAATCAACAACATGATGTAATGAGAATAAGAGAAACATACAAAAAACACAGAGATCATGTATGGAACAGGAGGAAACTTCAACACTTATGATTCATATCTAATAAAAGACAAGAAAGATATTACATTCAGTCAATGCATAATATTCAAAGCATAAATATATAAGAAAAAGTGAGACAGCCACTTGGCAGAAATAATTTCGTTAATTCATTCCACAAAATATTTTGGGGACTCACTACTGTTTTATACTGTGCTGGGCTTTATATTGTTGAATGAGATGGAATTTAAGTAATTCCAAATAGTTAATTAGTTAATTTGATAAATTAAGTAATGGAAAAATATTAAAGTATGCTTCACAAAACCATGTTTTGTGTTCTTACTAATAATTTGCTTTTAAAAATCATTTATTCAGCTTGGACTTCAGTTTATTCATGCCTGAACTGGGCATAAAAATATTTGATCTTGGGACATGGAATGAGCAGTAACTGGAAGGGGGACACAAGGGATCTTCTGGAATTCTGGTAACGCTCTTTCTTGATGTGTAGATGTGTTCAGTTTGAGACAATTCACTAAGTGGCATACTTATAACTTGTGCAGTTTTCAGTGTGTATGTTGTACTTCAACCAAAAGGTTACTCCCAAATTTAGATGAGTTGTAAGGCCTCTTTCCAACCTGAATTAATTTATGATTCTATTGCTGATTTAAGTAAAGGATTATAGCAGAGAAAAGAAATCTAGACAGGAAATTTTAAAGCATGGTTCTAGACCCAGTTTTTTACTAACCAGCTGTGACCTTTCACCAAACACCCAGTCCTGGAGGGACCCCTTTTTCTCACGTATACCTTGAGAGACTGAATCGATTTAGATTTTCTCTAACATCCCTCCCACTGGAAACATCTGTGATGATTGTTACAAACATTTAATCCAACCCAGTGGTTTACCAAAACATTGTTGAGTTGTTTGCAGCCCTTCTGTTGTAAACACATAAGCATCAGGTGAGACATTTTTGGTTTGTAAATCGTACTAATGACAAGCATGACTTATTCTCATAATTGAGTTCTAGATCCTACCTGAAATCTTCTTTCTGCTATTAATTTGCTTAGGGAACCATTCTCTCTGTAATAAAAATTGGGTATTAAGTAGTTTTACTGTACTCTGTAAATGCATTTTCGTGGGCATGCCTCAAAAGGTTTTTCTTCTCCTGTTTTGCTTTTATAGTCCTTCCCACATTATCCATTTTCCCCCATCAGAGAAAGAACCTGACCTTCTAGCTTTATTCCTCTCTTGAAAAGCTCATAAAATTTTTTAATTTAAAAATCATTACTCTTTGGATCTGCCTATGAATCTTTATTTGAAACAGAGAAATCATGGGAGTTATTTTGAGTTTTTGACAAAGATTGTAAATTCTTTAATTCTTTTCTCTATAAACCATTTCATTTGTAGGCCTAGTTCAGGGATTAATGGATCATCTAGCATGAGCTGTTTCTTGCCTCTGGATAAGTGTTTTCCCTCAGAATTTAATAGACAGAAAGTACTTCTTAAAGTCTTAATGTTATTAACACTGTTAAAAAGATGAATTTTTCTGAAAACATTTTTACAGGAATCTCTCCCTAAGGGTAGCCTTTGGAGACTCCCTTAGGCTTTTTAGGTAGAGGGAGGGATTGTTATTGTTTTTAAAAAAATAAAATTTATTTTGTATATTTAAGACATGCATCATGTTGTTGTGGGATAGATGTATATAGTTTAAAAGGTTATTATAGTGAAGCAAGTTAATATACTCATTACCTCACATAGTTACTCACTTCTTTGTTTTTGTGACAAGAGTAGCTAAAATTTGCTCATTTAGCAGGATCCAAAATACTGTACAATTTTATTACCTATAGTCCCTTGAGGCGATTTTGATGTTTGGGTCAGTTACTTTTGTAAATTATTTCTATTCTTTTACTACTTTGTTATTCTCTTGCAGAAAAGTGGACAATCTGACGTTGGTTGCTTTTTTTCTGAGCCCCTGGGAATTTGGACAATGAATAACTTCAATTTCAAAATCATCTATATTCGGCTTTTGGTTTTTCATCTTTCCTGTTCCCTTTAGAGATAGCACATGGGCACTGCTTTTCTGGGAGTTAACACTTAAGACATATTACGTGCTTAAAAAATTAGTCACTAATGTGTGTTTTCATGACATCTTGCTTTCAAATGTCATTATTTCTCATTTCTTAGAGGTCACTGTACTAAAAAATACAAAGTCCTAAATGGCAAGAATTCACTGTAAAAGATAGCTTGTCACATTATTCTTGAGGTAGACATACATTTCTATTTTCCCTCACAAAGTTTATAGACTCAACAAAGAAATGAAGAGGCCTTGAACAGAAATGCCCTTAAGTCACTGCAGAAAGGTAATTACCTCTCTTTTTCTTAAAAATGTCCAGAAGTCTACCCAGGCCTCTGCTGGTAATGGACTGGGTTACCGCCAACCCTCAAGCCGACATAAAACCCTTCAGCTCTCTCACTGTCACATTTTTCTTTCCCCTGGAAAAATCAACTTCTCTTCTCTTTGCCAAACAATATCCCTTCTGTAATTTTAAGTCCATTCTTCTCAATCCTCTCCTTTCAAAATAAGACTGACCCATAAAGAAACAATCATCTGTTTCTCGATGTGTTTGGAGATTTCTCCTTTTAGAGAGAAAGAAACCCTGAGATATGAGATCCTGTTTCCTCCAGACCCTTTTCCTAAAATCAGAAACAAAGGCCTCTATATCCCTGTATCAGAATTTGCAAATCCAGTCTAAGGGGAAAGTATGGCTTACTGCATAAGGATTCCCGCCCTCCTTCAGATCAGCTGGTCTCTAGTTAAATAATGGCAGCCATCAGAACCATGCACCCTGCGCCCTGTTGCCTGGTCTGTCCAGGTCACTGTGTCAAGCACTGGGAACACCAACAGGCCCAGGGGACTGTAGTCAACAAAACCATCTTGTTCACCTTGCACTTACTCAGTGCTTTTATGCTTATAAGGATCTTTAGCAAACGTGTAGTTTTTTACAAATCTCTGAGGATAACCGGATAGGGAAATAGATTTTCTCCCCCATTTCATAGAAAGAGACTATGGGACTATTATAATATCACCTTTGCATTTTAGGAAAGTAAAGAACTAGAATCCAGTTTCCCTTTCTCCAGGTCTTCACAACCTCTACCTGTAAGCCTCCAGTCTTAATCCTGACATATCCCTGTTATCATCTGGATATGGTTTGCCTACCCCCCCCCCCAAATTCTGGTGAAATTATCCCCAGTGTTGGAGGTGGGACTAGTGGGGAGGGTATTTGGGTCATAGGGGCAGATCCTTCATGAAAAGATTAATGCCCTCCCTCATGGGTGAGTGTTTAGTTCCTGAGATAAACATTTATTTTAAAAAGTGAGGCAACTCCTTCCCCACTCTCTTGCTTCCTCTCTCACCACGTGATTTCTGCATGCACCTGTTCTCCTTTGCCTTCTGTCATGAGTGGAAGCAGCCCGAGGCCCTGACCAGATGCAGATGCCCAGTTAGGATCTCTCCAGCCATCAACATCGTGTGCCAAATCGATCTTCTTTCTTTATAACTACCCAGTGTCAAGCATTCCTTTAGAGCAACACAAAACAGCCTAAGACAATATCATAATAAGTCTACTTGTTTGATTCTCTCATCTCCTATAATCTTTCACTGCAGATGTTATAGTACCAGAGCACAAATGCCAGTTGATTTTAAGGTCAGAACCCAAATAAGCTCTTTTTTAAAGCTATTCTCAGGTGCCCAGTTAATAGTACTAAATTTCTTTCTCCAAGAAGTTTGAACTTAATGATAATCCTTTGGAAGTTTTCATTCTATCGTGGTCGATAGTAGGCAAAGTCAAAAATACAAAGTTTCAGGAAAATCATCAATCAACTGGGCAAATATGAAACTATCCAGTGAGGAATAGAGCCTGCCATTACAAGTGTTGTATAGTAAAGCAGTATATAAAATACCATGGAGTAAATCTCTTAGTCTCCAACTGGCTAAGTCCCAGATATCATCTTTTTCCTAAGCCAATCGAAAAGCAGGTTTTCAGCATGATCACTGTTATTTCTCACCACTGCTGTGAGTGACTCTAAGAACATCATTAACAAAGAACATTGTCCCAGGATAGCTGCCACCCACATAATCCCCAGGATGGCTAATAAGTGTCTCTGTCTGCCTTGGTATTTGTCCTTGCCAATACACTATCAACAAAACAAATGTACTTCAGGATGAGCAGGCTCATCAAAGTTTGTGGAGTCATGGTGTCTGATTTTTAGAATAAATGATATTATTTATACCAACAATAAAAAAGGGTTTGTTGTTTGTATCGTATATGCGGGGCTCTGGGCTTGGCCTGAATGATACAAGATGGCACCAGACACATATTTTTACCTGAAGGAACTGACAATATAACTGTGGATGCAAGACTTGGATCTAAAAATTGAAAGTGCCATTGCAATATAGTACATTCATGTGTCACTTAATGATGGAAATATGTCTTGAGAAACACTTCATTAGGCAATTTCATCCTTGTGAGAACATCATGGCATACTTACACAAACCTAGATGGTATAGCCTCCTCCAAACCTAGGCTATGTGGAGTAGTCTATTACTTGCAGGCTACAAACCTGCACAGCATGTGACTGTGCTGGATGCTGTAGGCAATTGTAACATTAGCATTTGTGTATCTGAACGTAGAAAAAGTATGTAAAAGTACAACATTATAATTGTATTTGTTTGTAATTTTATACAGTATTGTAATTTATAATACCATCACATGAGAGGTCCATCATTGATGGAAACACCATTATGTTATGCATAACTGTACCTTAAATCCAGAATGAGTGATGTGGCATATAAGCATATGGGAGCTCATAGGCTGGAACAGTTTGGAGAGTTAAAGCAGGCGGGAGAGCCCATTAACTCTGGGTCTCACACAGAATTTACTGTCTACATTTACTCATTCAGTCCTCAACATTATTGTATGAGACAACATACTGTTATGGCTTGTGTTCCTCTTCTGTTTTGCAGGTGAAAAAATTGAGGCTTGGAGGTAAGTAACTTGCCTAGATCACACACCTGGTGTTCAGACAGTCTGATGCTGGAATGCTAGCTCTTAACCATGTTGTAGATAGATGAGGAAACAGCCATCCTTCTCTGAATGTGAAGATGATTGGGAAAGGGACCCATACAAAAGCTCTGGGAGAAAGATCAGTGTAGCCAATAAACTCTGGAGTTTATGATGAAACACTGCAGAGGCCATCCAGGATGGTGGCTGACTTTGCCAGTCCAACCCCAGTTGTCAAGGATGACTAAAGACACACAGCACCAGGAAAGGAACATGGACAAGTCAAGCAGACAGCATCCTCCAGTACACCAGAGTTTATGGAGAGAAATCTGAATAACAAGCCTGGCAAGATAAATATATTAATATATACTGATATACCAGGGTACCAAAAGTATAACTCCCATACAGGACAGGGTACAGATCATGAGGTAACTGAGTTAATGAGAGCAGGATATGGAGGCCTGGGGAACCCATCCCCAGAGTACAGGAGGCACTGTGGCGAGGGTCAGTGGCAGCTGCCAGAAGGAAGGTTAGCCACAAGAACTAATAGTCAGAAGTTAGGGCATGACCTTTTAAACATTAAGTTAAACAAGGTACACCGAACTGCCACCTGGTAGGAAAGGGCACTGGATTTGTCATCAGAGTGAGATGTATTCTAGAAAGAGGAAAAACAAAGTCCAGTGCTAAGGTCCAAAGACAGAGACCAAGTAGCAGCAAAATTGAGTTGATTCCAAGTCATATCTTTCCTGGCAAAAAGCCTTGACATCTCTTTTTTTCTGGGTCAGAATTGAGGAAAAAGCCCAAGATGAGATTGAATCTATATGTAAGAATCAAAGACCCCTAGTTGTGGTTTAATAAGTCTTCAGAAGATGGGAACTAAGCAGCACCTATAATAATTTCTATTCATTTCTAGCAAATATTTATTGGGTGTCTACTATGTGCCAGGCACTCCTACAAGCGAAGGACTACAGTAGTGAGAAAGACAGGTCTCTGCTGTCTTGGCACTTATGTTCCAGAGGGAGCATAATTAAATAAATTAAGATGAGGCAAAAAAACTGTTTTAAAAAGTTTTGCAAAGGCACAGAGGCAGGAAATGTCATGGGTTGTTTGAACGAGAAATAATTAGTCTGGTTGCAGCAAAATGTTTATGAAAGGAATCTAGGGAATTCATCCATGCACTGAATTCAGAATCACCAAAATGGTGCAGGTTGGAGCTCAATGAGCCCACAGACCACCTTCCCAGCCCCTCCTGTCTGCAGAGGAGAATTGGAGTGTCAGAAAATGGGGGTGAGTGGAAGTATGAAACACAGATCTTAGTGAAGACAGGCCCTAATGCCATTTATTTGATGAAAATTCTGCAAATCGTTAGTCCACTAGATTGTTGAGTGGTTCAAAGAAATGCAGTGGTCATGGGAGCTGGATCCAGGCCGCCTTCTTTTACCCTTATCTGTGACCTTGGGCAAACTCCTGAGATTCACTGAAAGCCTGGAGGCTGATGCTCCCAAAAGCCCCTTCCAATTCAGAACTCCTTTAATGCTTTAAATGATTCTAGCCCAGTGTATAAGTCCATTTTCACACTGCTATAAACAACTGGCCAAGACTGGGTAATTTATAAAGGAAAGAGGTTTAATTGACTCACAGTTCAGCCTGGCTGGGGAGGCCTCAGGAAACTTACAATCATGGCAGAAGATGAAAAGGAAGCTTCAAGCTGAGATTTAGGTAGGGACACGAAGCCTAATCATATCACCCGGTTATCAGTGATGACTCTTTAGAGGTATCAGCACAAGCTGGGGAACAAGGCAACACGCAACCCAGCAGCAGGATTCAGGTTCTGGTCCTGATGGTGGGCCCTGCTGTGGTCTTGAACAAATTACGTAATCCCTTAATGTCCTTGTCTACGAAGCGTGGGGTTGCACCAGACCATTACCAAGCCACCTCTCAGTTCGAGTCTTCTTT